GTGTTTCGGCTCACGCGTTTCTGAACCATTTTTTCGTACTTTGACAACAAGGCTTTTAGTGCTTCTAGCGTAGACACCCCGCTGAAGATTAAGGCGTTACCCGAATTATCTTGCAGCCCGTCTACAATAAACTCTACCAGCTCGATTGGTGCCGTTTGTGCCATTTCTTGCATTGTCAGGACGTAGCGGGTGAGGCTTTACTTTTCTACACATTTTTACTTTCAACTATCACTAGTTTTGGAAATATTAATACTTTAATGAAACGCCAAAGTTTTTTCTTTGTAATGATGTATATTTTGTAGCTGGTGGACAGTTAGGGGTGAAATGGCGACATATTTAATGGTTGTATCTTTAAAGATACCGTGAGAATTTAAGGGTTAAGTGGTGGGCTTTATGTTAAAGTTTTTTAAAAAAATCCATTTAGTTTGACTAAAATTGATATTATGAGTTGCATTCGATCTTCGCTGGCTATCGAAGATCGAAAGTGAAATTCGTATTATGAGCTATGCAAGCGTGTCAAAATTTTCGATGAGTATCGAGTTTTTTGTCGAACAGAGGCCCTTATTATGTTGTTGTTGTTGTAGCAGCATACAAGTTCCCCATAGAGTTTTGGGGAGTGTTGCTGGAGTGACAGTCCTTGGCCAGATATAAATCTGGGTCGTTCCGGTTACGTAGACCCGACTGTCGTGGGAACGCCCTTACTATGAGTTGCATTCGATCTTCGCTGGTTATCGACACTAATTTAAACAATTTTTATCAATTTCATGCAGTTTCAACGTCGTGAATACAAAACACCACGAACCAACTAACAAGAACACCCAGCACGGCAATCGTGTATATGTAATTGCATTTGAGAAAAAAAATTATCAGCCCTATTCTGCATTTCGACTTGAATCGAAATTTTCTCCGTTTGGCAACTTTGGTATTCTGCGTTCCGTTTCCTTTCGATCAATCTTCGAAATTTACGATTATACCTATTCTACATTTCGATCGTAGTTCCGTTTTTCTAAGTTGCAAAGTTGTTGACTGAGGATATTTCGGTTGTTATTTTCGTGGGTTTAAATAACAAAATTTTATAAAAAATTTAAGTAAAATATACTGTGCATGATTTTAAGTCATCATAAATGAATTTTCTCGATTTCTGTGTTTTCGCGAGCGGTGATACGGGCAAAACGAAAAATTGGCTCAAATAATGGCAACCAAAAGGGATATTGCGCGACGTTTTCAAAGTGGAAGTCCACGCGTTTTTGTTTACATTAACTATAAATAAGACTGTGAAATGCACTGAATACAATTTATTCTTTTTATATAAAATTAATGGATGTATGCACATAGATACATACATACATAAAATGTGAAGTTACATAAAAAAGATGCTTTTATTATTGCACTCGTTTTTACTAACTTTTTAAAAAGAGGTGCGTATGTTGTCTCGAATTCGATTTGCTATGGAAAGATAAGCTTTGTTCTTCCCCTCCTCCTGACGACTTTGAAAATGGGATTCATTTGCGTTCAAATCTTCCACTCTGTAGTAAATGCAAATGTTGTGGAGTGCTCAAACAACGTTTATGATTTCACTGACTTTAAGCGATGAGTAATACAGTTCAAGATGCGTTCCCACGACAGTCGGGTCTACGTAACCGGAACGACCCAGATTTATATCTGGCCAAGGACTGTCACTCCAGCAACACTCCCCAAAAAGTCTTTGGGGAATTTGTATGCTGCTACAACAGCAACAACAACAACAGTTCAAGATGAATTCCTTATGACTCTTCCTTCACTCATCTGAAAAAGATCAAACATGTCCCTAAATCTCCGCGTTTCAACTTCCGCATCGCAATCTGGGACTCGATCTTCTCTTCAAGCAATAA